AAACAAACATGTTACATATTTTTTAACACATATTAAATTAAAAATTTTATATAAAATGCGATTGTTATTTTATATATCTAATATCAAGAACGAGCTAAATATACATATATCAGGAATATCAGCTTTTTCGTTTTTACTATATAATGATATATTTAGAATTATAAAATAAAATATTAATATTAGGTGTAATAAAAAGAAATCCATTATTTTTGCATGAAATTGAATGGAAAAATAATGGATTTCTTTTTACTACATCTAATATCTATATTTTTGTATCTAAAAATATAGATATATATATGTATGAGTTTCTTTTAGTTTTATACAATATAAGCTTTAGCAAGCATATTTAGTATGTATCGAAAAAATTTTCGATAAGTATATATAGGGCATAAAAAATATTTTATACATCAAAGTATAAATATCTTTATATTGCTATTAAATAATTCTGAAAATGAAGATTAAACTGAATCCAGAGTTTCATCAAAAAATATACCGTTGCATAATGTAAAAGTATTTATCAGTTCTATATTTTCTACTATATTAATTTATTAACATTCTACTCTCACAAGTGAAAATAACTTATTTCTAAAACGAAATGAGTTATTGTCCCCAAAGTATACAATTAAAATAATCCCAGGGCATCCTGATATTTTTTCAAATTATCACTTATTGGATATACTAAGTAATTAAATTTCAAAATCTGTACGAAGAATCGTATGTCGGATTGACCACCGCAGTGCTGACACTATCGGTATCCAGAGTATCCTTCTGCTCGGCTGCCCTCCATAATGGCGAGGGCCGAAATAAACTCCGGAAGCTCTGCGAACAATTAAAAGGGCACAAATTAAATTGTTGCGAATCCGATAATGGGTGAGATACGTGCCGTTGGCGCCGTTCACGTTCCCGCGAGGTCATATCTCCTCGTGCGAAACCGCACAAGTACTTTGGAAGTGTGCGCGGAACGCCCGAAAACAACGGGAAAGGAGATAAGAGTAATGTTAAATTTATCGGCTAACAGAAAGCGGAAGCGGTCAAGAAAAAAGACTGCCTGCCTTCCTCATCTCTCTTTCTCTCTCTTTCTTTTCGTAGAAATGGATAGAAATACGTGCGGTCCGAACAGGGCCGCTATTGATGCTATTGATTAAATAAAAATTTAAAATATTATAAGTTATTTTCTTGGAAATATTGAGAATTTTTATAGAGAATTTCTTGCCTACGTAAGCGATCTGACAATAATGTCTTATAAATAAAATAAAAAAGTTTGAATAAGATAATAAAAAAATATATTATCCATATATTAATTCTAGAGAAAATAGCTTACATATAATATCCTATCGAGTCGTGTACAAAAGCGTGCATGCAAAATTTTATTTTAGCACCTCTTGAATTTTTGCGTATAAAAAAAACAAGATTTTTATGGGATACAAAATTGACATTTTTTACAATCTAAAAATGTGAAAAAATTCGATATAGAGATTCGCAATGTTCACACATTTATTTGCAAAGCAATTTATACAATGCGATACGCTCCATTTGTTGGTGAAAATCCGAACGTATAGAAGGTCGTCAGTTTAATCAAAAAATTTAATCCCGTAAAATGTTCTTTTAAACATATGTCAATTTGTGTATTTTCAATTTCGTTAAAACTCGCAATTGGCGACTCTCTCTTTGTACGGTTGCGCTCTTTGTGCGATGCGCACGATTTGCACGCTGGCTTCCGGCGCGGCGGCCCTGTGCTTGCAGCGATGGAGAGTGGCAGGCTCTCTTCCCCACCATAGAAGAAACTTTTCGTTTCAAAGTACGATTACCAACGTACCGTGAAAAAAACTTGTATTAAGACGTTCCCCGAGTTCTTGAGATTTTACGGCGCGGACCGCAACTTCTAAATCGGCCCGTAACCGCAACTGCGTCGACATTGGCGAGTATAAGCTTTCGGGAGACTTTCGCTCTAATCGAGATATCAAGAATAGCGTGATGCAATAACGAGCAACTATATCGGTTTACACAAACGTTTCACAATTTTTACACTTTCGACAGAAAAAGTTCTTTTAATGCATTATACGCATATCAAATTAAGAATAAACTTTAGTGACTTCAATAAAAGAGTTTTAAAGAATTTTATCCGTCACTGATAATTCCAAAAAAAATAATTTATAACATTCTTTATGTCGGATGCGTAATGGCGAAAGTTTTTACTCTGATTAATTGATCATACATAGGAAATGAGACAAGTTGGTCAAAATTGTTGGGAGATCCAATGATCCCGCAGCCGCTTCTCATTAGCGAAAATTAATGGCCCAATCTCCTAATAAAACAATCTTCTTTTCTTGAAAATAGCCAACCGGGAAGTCATTAAGTATCAAAGAAGAATACTGATTATTAAGAAATCTCAACTCAAACTTTTCTCTGAAAAGTCGACGCCTTTCACGCTTGTTTGATAAATGTGTCTTTGCGGAAAATAAATTATTTTTAAGACTTAAATGCGTAATACGTCATGCATATCTTAATTAATGACCAAAATCAATTATTTTTTCAATTTTAAGAAATATATGTGCACATTATTTTCATTTTAATGATACTAGGAAACTCTCCAAGAATTATTAAGTATCTTACTAATCTTAATATGAACTTAGTTAATTAAAGAATAAATAAACAAAAATAAATAAATATTTTTACATGAAAAATTGAATAAAAATTGAATAATTGATAGATTTATTTCAAATTTCTTTAAAATTGTATAATTTAGGCAAAGTAAATAATATTTTTTTCAAGAAAATTTCACTGCAAGAAATTCAAAAGATACAACAAAATAATAGAAAAGCAGTCTCATAAATTTTCTTAAAACAGATAATTGTCACTTGTACAAGACTTTTCCCAATTTACATAAAGAAGAAGAGAAAACGAAGTGGCAAAAAACACAACGATCAAAGAGACAAGAGAATACAAAGGTTTTATAAGCCCTGCAGGCTTTTGAATTTTGACTATCTGACTTATTTTTGTTATTTTTACGACGAAATTTTCTAGACTAATATTATATATAATGTGAATAAAAATATTTTTCAAAATCATTTGTACAGTTCAATCTATGGTAAGCTGTTTTACTTTCTAATAGCATAAAATAAATTTTGCTTAATATAAAATTCTTAAAAATATAAAATTCTTATTGTTGAAAGAAAATTATTATATATTATACATATATAGTATAATGAATCTGTATAGTGAATATTACATAAGTCTTTTTCATTTTTTATATTTTTTAAATTTTATGTTACTATCTACTTAATTTATTTGTTAAGAAAATTATTTAAATACAGTTTTAATATTTGTCGAAAAAATGCACAAATATTAATATATTTTTTAATCTTCCACAACAAGTACATAACCGCATAAGAAAACGTTTCTGAAAATTACTGTTAAATGACAGCGAATAGTGTACAAATAATGGAAAACATTTTTTAAAGTTTGAATAATGTTTAGTACCAAGATTAACAAAATATAAGGTTTACAAAGGAAGAAAATTAAAAAATCGGTACCTAGATAAAATAGAAATTTTGTCTATTTTTATGAATTTCTTTTTATTGTATATTTTGTGTAAGACTTTATAATTTTTAGAAGTACTTAAATAAAATAGAAATTTAATTTAGATATAAGTGCTTTCCAAATGTTTTTCTTTTATTTTCTAGATTTAACAACTTTTACAAAGAACCTTCGTTATTATTAAAATCTTTAAAAGTACACTTTAATGATCTAAACATTATTTAGAAATAATTGAATGATCTCTTCATTTAATTCATCCCGATAATGATTGTATTAGCTTAATACTTTAAAGAAATAACATTTCATTTAATAAATAATTAATTTAAAATAAGCTGTCGAAGAAGTTACGTGTAAAGTAGGTATTAGCATCATTTTTACTTTATAAGTAAAATATTCACTTTTTTAGTGACCTGGATGCAAATTCGCACCAGTAAAATTTCTTTATTTAATGCACAGTTTTGAACAAATAATGTTTTGCTTTTGGAAAATTTAATATTATCAACCACAATTAGTTAGAAAATTTTGCATTGAAAAACATAATTTTACTTTAATTTTATTTTTAACTTCTAAAAGATATAAAACTGTCTGGTACGAATTCACAAATTCACATTCAGGTATTCTTTGCAGATGCTTAAAAAGAACGTGTTCTTTACAGATTAAACTCCAAAACTTCAAGATCTTTTATTTGTGAACAATTGACTTACCTCCGCTTTCCAAACTTGTGGGATAAAAAAGATCGGCATTGGCACCAAAGTGGCTAGTCCAATTCCAATTCCAAGGGCACTCGCCCAGCTGGGGAATATATAATTGCCGTAACTTCCTCGAAAATCGGTTTGGTACAGTTGATATCCAAAGACTGCCTACGGATAAAGGCAGAGCGCCAATTAGTTGGACGTTTGATTTCTCATATAGCAGCTGAAACTATGCTGCAGTAGATATATGTGCGCGAGAGCGTAGCACAATTATCAATTAAGGGAGATTTCGAATTTTTAATCAAAACTAACTTTCGCGCAGAGCACCGTTCGGCAGCCGTCGAGGGAAATATTTCGATTCCCACGACGGCGCGAGCGAAAAATTTCAGCGGTTATAAATAAAAATTCGCTCGGCACGCCTCGACAGGCAGCCAGATTAATTAAGCAGTTTGGTCGTCGGGAATACGACGCTTTGCCTCCAAGGGACGTTGAGTTTTGTGAACCTAAAGCTGGTAATCTTGCCTAGAAAGTCCGATAAATAAAATAAATAAATAATTCCGTATAATACATTTTCTAAT